CATAAACCATTTTTAACCCAGAAAACTGAAAACACAGGGCTGGTGGAGTCTGGCTATGTACACAACTGTCTGTAATTGTGCTGTGAAGTAGGGCTGCCAATGGGATTTTTATCAAAACCCAAGCTAAGCTGGAAAAAAAGCAATACATAAGCACACACCCCCCCCCCCCCTCCCCTCCCCCCCAAAAAAAGAATGATAAAAAGTACACATTTTATAGTTAAGAAACGAAACATTTATTCACTAAGAACAAAACAGTGAGCAGCGCAAAACAGCCACCCTCAGTCTACTTGATGATGAATACCCGCAGAACCTTTGGGTCCGTGTTTACACAGATGGGTCAGCAGAAAGCGCAGTCAGAAACGGAGGTGCAGAGTGTACATTGAGTATCCTAATAATACCAGGGATACAGCCAAATTACCAACGGGAAAGCACTGTCACAACTATGATGCAGAAGTTCAAGCCATCAAGATAGCGGTAGAGATACTATTAAATACAGGATATTTTTCACAACCAGTGGTATTCCTGACAGATGCAAAAGCAGTACTTCAGTCACTCCAGTCTGGAAAATTACCAAGCATACGGACACTATTATCCGAACTAGGCAACCGCTGTAAATTAGTAATGCAGTGGATACCTTCCCACTGTGGAGTTCCCGGAAACGAAAAAGCTGATAAACTAGCTAAGCAAGGTGCAACTGAAGAACAACCTAACATACCAGTCTCTTATCAACAGAAGAAGAGAATGATCAAATCAATCAGAATGCCACCGAAACTGGCACAAGATGATTACCATATTATGGACAGACCAGAGCAAGTCATTATCCTTCGCCTTAGAACAGGGCACAATCGACTTCGCTCCCACATGTACAACAAATTTAAGATTGGCCAATCAGCCATGTGTACTTGTGGACTGGCACCTGAAACAACAGATCACATCCTTCAAGACTGTCCCAGATTCAACGCTTTCAGGCAAAACCTTTGGCCAAAAGAGATACTTGTGGAAGTCAAACTTTACGGGCCGCTTAGTGAATTACAAAAGACAGTGAAATTCATACTAGAGACAGCTTTGCAGATATAGACAATTTATTTCATGCGAACGAAAGAAGAAGAAGAAGAAGATTTATTCACTTTTATATAAAGATATATTTTAAAAAAAAATACCCATAACAACCAAGATTCTAAAATCGGAACCCAAGGCTTCAAAGAAACCCAGATCTTAGGGGGAAAAACCCAGTATTGACAGCCCTGCTATGAAGAATGAGACGTTCCATCAACTTAATATTCAGTAGCTCCCAAAAGCGCTGGGGGCCGTCCCTCTTGCCCTCTCCAGTTTTTTCTTAGAATCGACTGCCCGGTGACCCAGTCGTAGACCACCATGTTCACACCAGTGTGGTTTTGTGTTTGTGACGCTATACTCCCCTAGTAATTCCCCTCGGCGCCATTCTTCTTCGACCGTAACGATTTATTTGAGACTGCAAACTGTTCACTCGTTCCCAAAGGGCCCTCATAACATGTAGCTTGTCATACATCAATCAGTTCACCACCAAGTGGTTCAGAACTGGCCAGTATCTGCCTGCTCGTTTCCCACCCCACCGGCATTACCCTGGAAAAAAAATCCAAAGGAGGCTAACTACATAGACCTCTGAGGCGATGCTTGCCACTTAGCCCGAATCATGCCTGCCTCCACCTATCTCAACATACTGCGTGAGTCAGTTACAATTACGACATGTCTGAACATCTGATTCTCATTCTGGTGGAAGGGAGCGATGACCGCCTCTACCTCCATTCCCAGCTAGATTTTGTGATATCAAATGCCAGGTTTCTTGCTCAAAGTGACGTCCAATCGCTTTTGCTATGAACCCCCGTGCACTTTGTCTACCTCTAAAGAAGCTGAAACCAAGATACTCGTGACTGTTACGCCAGCCTGGTGTAGCCTGCATCGCAGTCCTTTGCGGGTAAGGTGCAGATGGTACAGTTCTAGATCTGTGTCTTGTTTTTTTTTTTTTTTCTTCTTTTCTTTTCATTATTTGTCCAAACGCATTATGTCACAAAACTATCGTTTCTAATCTCCTCTCTCCCCCCTCCCCTTTTTTCCCCTTTAAATAGGTCGAATGTCAAGATGAAAGCGACGCAAGAAGGATATTTTATGAGGTAGGTGCTGTTTGAATCTTTATCCCATGACCAGAGGCGTAGAACCAGGTGTCATCAGGGGGATTGGGGGTGGGGGAGGGATGTGACAAGTATCCCAACCCCCCCCCCCACCCCCCAAAGTGTTTTCAACACTTAAAAAGAGAGCTGCGTGATCTCAATGTATGGCGTTAAAGCCCCGGTGAATGCTGTTTTTTTTCCTGTACACGTTAACTTTTAGTAATTTCCCCTGCTCTCTGAGTAGTGAGATTGGACTCCCGTGTGTAATGTTGCGCACGTGTAAAAATTCATTGGCCGTTGGAAGTCGAAAAGAGTAGCCTAACAGTGCTGCCCTAGCAACATTTTAGAGTTAAAAACTACCCAAAAAATGTCAGGATCCTCGCCGGTGCTACGGAGTCACGTGCACTGCGCTGAGCTACTTCAGACTTAGACTTGAGTTAGAAGTAGAACGGAGCACTTATGGGTTACAACCCGTGTGCCATGATGTTAATCCGTTGTTCAAAACTATGACATACAAGACTGGCCAAAACTTTGACATACAAGACCTGCCAAAACTATGACATACAAGACTGGCTAAAACTATGACATACAAGACTGGCCAAAACTATGACATACAAGACTGGTCAAAACTATGACATACAAGACTGGCAAAACTATGACTTTCAAAACTGATTTACCGCTGTATCGCTAATTATGTAACTGACTGATTAACTAACTAAATAACTAACTAACTAACTAACTAGATAATAACTAACAAAACTAACTTGTTGTTTCTATAGGAAACAGAGCTGAAGAAACTAGAACATCCAAACATTAGCATGTATAAAGAGTTCTTTATTACATACGAAAAAGAGGTAGGTAACTGAACTTGTTCATCCTTGTATCTCATACGGGTTCGCGCAGGCGGTAACTATTTGCCAATTCTCGATCACAAAATTCACGGATAAAGTCATTGTTCTTTTTTTTTGCCCAGGCTATATGTTTCATACCGTAAAGGCATTTATCACTGGTTATGAAAGGTGATTAATCGTGGCATCTTTAAAGAAGGTATTCAACGATTGCTTTAATTTTTGGTGAAGACCTTGCTTGCATGATGGAGATAGTGGCTGTCACATGGGCAGTGGTATATGGCTAATGGAACAGAAAACACCCACGCACTGAAGGTGACATACTTAATAAACATGCTTAAGAAGATCCAAACTGGCAAACTCCGACCAGAATGGCTTGCATGTAAAGGTGGCTGGTTTGATGCTGACCACATCACCCAGCAAGTGCCGTTTGGTTTATAAAATATCAGGTCTAGCCCTATAGACCCAATATGCCTGGAGGCAACGGAAAAGGGCCCTTTACTTACTTACTATACTGGTCAGGTGACCGTAGCTGTTGTTACTGAAGTGTAAGACCATGGATATTTCTTAGCCATATTATGCTGTCACCCTAGGAGTCAAAGTCAATATATTGTCCAAACCCGCCCGGTGAAGATCTGAACCCAAGATATTTGGGGGCCGGAGGTGAGCGTCTACCCAAAGCACTACAGTTACTCCCCGATGTTAATACAACACCTAAATAAGAGATAATGAAAAAAGAAAAGCATATCATCATCATCATCATCATCTATTTTTCCTTCTTTCGTTCGTCTGAAATAGTTGTCTATATAGGAAATTTTGTTTTTCGTATAAATTTCATTATTTTTCTTAGTTCTTGCAGTCATTCGTAGAGTTTACGTTCCATTGAAGTTCTTTTCTGGCCAAAACGTTTGCAGTTTTAGACAATGTGTTCTACTGTCTGGGGTGTGTGTGTTCCACCGTCTAAGGCGTGTTCTACTGTCTGAGGTGTGTTCTAGTCTGGAGTGTGTTCTACCGTCTGGGCGTGTTCTACTGTCTGGGACGACTTTCCACGTGTGCACACGGCTGGTACACCTATCTTGCATTTCACTGAAATATGGCTGTGTAAACGAGTGTGGCCTGTTCTGGGGCGCAGTATAAAGACCTGTTTTGACCTCCAGTTATACCATCTGCTAGAAAATAATAAATGCCTTAAAGGTCACTCTACAACTTCTGAGGACAGTCTTGTCGGAGAATCTTTGGACCCATCAAAAATGTAAACAACGAAGAATGGATAGTGAGAAACAACAACGTAATTTATTGTCTGTTTAAAAAAGCTCTAGTTACTTGCACCTTTAGGGCTAATACACTGTAATGGTTGGAGCATATTGAAAGAATGGCAGATAACAGACAGACAAAAACTGCCTACAAAAAAGATTTGAATGGGAGTAGACAAAAAAAAGAATATAGTCAGACTTGCAAACGCTTGGAGTCACCACAGGTTGAGAAGAGAAAGACAAATGGAAGTCGGTGAAGAAGAAGAAGAAGAAGAAGAAGAAGAAGAAGAAGAAGAAGAAGAAGAAGAAGAAGAAGAAGAAGAAGAAGAAGAAGAAGAAGAAGAAGAAAGAAGAAGAAGAAGAAGAAGAAGAAGAAGAAGAAGAAGAAGAAGAAGAAGAAGAAGAAGAAGAAGAAGAAGAAGAAGAAGAAGAAGAAGAAGAAAAAGAAAGGGACTAGGTACTAGATGAGCTGACTGAACCAGCTGCACCGCCCCTAAGATATCAGGTTGGGGGGGGGGGGGGTTATTCTTAATGTGGCAAAGACAACTTACCACCGTCGCTAATTTTCTAGCGATATGAGCCTGAACTGCCCCTAAAAATTACTAGGGGAGAGGGCTCAGCCAATCCCCCGCCCCGCCCCTCCCCTCCCAACTTTATTTATTGAGAATTGAAGTGGCTAAGAATCAAGGTTGCAGCGCCTACAAATGAGAGATACATATTTCATAGAAACCACACGCACATCTTGATTTCAGTGTTGCTCTGTGTACGTAAACATCATTAGCCAGTATTTTCCCGAGGGCACCTTGAGACAATTCCTCAAAGATTATCAAGATAAAAAGACCACTATACCTGAGCAGGTACTGTCTGCGTGTTGTGTTGACATGCATCTGTTTATGTTTTGAGTCCAACACCAACCTCACCATCATTGTGTGTGTGTGCTGTCTATCAAGATGAGGATGATGACCACTCTTTTTCATCAAGTATGAGTACGAAGATGACTGATGAGGCCGATGTAGGCTCGAAAAGTTCTTGGACAGTGAGGACAGGGAATGAGTGTAGTGCCAGGGAGATCTCCTGCAGTCGCCTTTCTTTCCATCCTTTTCCTATCAGTCTTGCTGTTCTGTTTGCTTCGCGTGTAGCCGCGCCCTTGTGCAGTGTTGCACGCCATGCATTTCGGCCTTGAGAGGCAGCCTCCCATTGGTTCATCCCAAATGCTTTAAGTGAAGACTTCAAGCGTTTCTTTTGTCCGCCTTGGGAACGTTTCCCATTTTGCAGCTCATCATAGAAGACTGTTGGGGGTGGGGGGAGCATGTGATCTGGCATGCGTGCCACATGACCAGCCCAACGAATCTGATACTGCATCAGTAGAGTGTGGATGCTGGGCATGGCTGCTTTCTCAAGGGTTACGGTATCAGGTATTTTTCTTGCCATCTGACCTGCATTAGTAATGAGTTTACAATGATTACTCCCATCGTTAATATCGTTACCAACGTTGAAGTCGAGACAGTCGACTTCATTGCATCAGATTTATCCCTCATGGCTGAGTCTCTTTAGTTGCCTCCACAAAGCACAAACCCCAGGGGTTCCAGCGGCCATCTACAGGGACTGCCATAAAAGCCACACTGGGGAACTAAAGGATGTGTCCGTGAAACGAACTGGCATCCGTCAGAGGATTGCCTCACTGTTTGTTATTGCTTGCTAACTTGTTCCGTGGCGTGTGATGGTCTGTTTTTCGTTCAACGTTCTGTGACCAAAAGAGTTTAGGAAGTCAAGCTTGGTAGTCTAGACTGTTGGGTCATAACATCTTGACGAAAAGTGAATGGAAAGAACAGGGAATGAGGGAAAGCCAAGCCAGCTACCAGGGGGTGTGAACACATGTCAAGGCTGTTCAGACGACCTTGTTGTGCATGCGTGCTTTGACCTTGTACCCGCCTCTCGACCCCTGCCAAATACATAAAATCCCTTAATGTAACTGAGTCAGAACGTTAACACCCCGGTTACGTAATATTATTTAAGTAAAAAAAAACAGCGAAGTACCTATCTGTCCATCCACCATGCGCCCCCTACCCAACACACACACACGCGCGCGCGCACACACACACACACACTGACACACACAAATACACACACACACACACACACAAATGGGGTTTCAGAGACCTCATGAACGCTAGAATACCAGAAAGTTAAAATTACAGCAAAGGCAAGACGAAACAAACCAATCATGGGAGAATCATGGGGGACTTCGGGTCTTTTCTCGTCATATACACTGAAATACTAACCAGAAATTACTGGCATCGCGTCTTTTAAAAGCAGATGTACTGCAGCCGAATGACATTCTTCGTGACATCTTCGGCATTGTCTTTTGCAGCTGGTGAAAAAGATCCTGGGCGAGATTCTGGAAGCTCTAGTTTACCTCCATGACAACGGCTATCTGCACAGGTAAATATGATGATATTTGTTGTCGGTTTGGGTGGTTTGGCCGGTTACGAATCATCTGCAAGACAGAGCATTAGCTTTTTATGATCGGTGCATTAGCCTCCAGATCATTCGAGCTCAGAAAGAAAGGGAACCGTGTGCACCTTCCAGAGACTCTGTCGTCTCTTCGGCTCCTGAAAGTACGGAAGGCTGGTTTTCAAACCTCACAGACACTTAGGCATTATAATGTGACCGAGTCATTATTAACACTCCGCATGGGAACTGTGTGGGATTCGATCTAGATTTTTCTTTCCGTTCTTCCCTCCAGGCTGTTACCTGACGGTTTGACCACCGTCATGTGCCCTGCCAGCTGGCGTTGGCGCTCATACATTTCCACAGATCACGATCCCTGGTTGCCTGGAACAATTCTGTTGATGATATACCTCCATGCCATTGTTTCAGTCCATCCAGCATCATCTCTCTTGGTCTGCCTCTAACCCTTTTTGTACTAATATTTCCAGTTGTCACGATGATGTTCTCTATGTCTCTCTTCTCATTGTGTGGCCAAAGAACAGTGTTTGGCTCTCTCTCTCTCTCTCTCTCTCTCTCTCTCTCTCTCTCTCTCTCTCTCTCTCTCTCTCTCTCTCTCTCACTTGTTGTTTTTAGATATCTACTTTCATTAGCTTCTTTCAAACAATCGTTGTTAGTTACTCTGGCCGTCTAATGTTTTCGTTTCATTCCTCTCAGGCTCTGTAACACCGGCGAGGATCCTGAAATACTTTGGGCAAATTTTTAACTCACATTTTGCCCGGGCAGCGCCGTTAGGCTATTCTTTTCGATTTCCAACTGCCAAGGGATTTTTTTTAACGTGTGCAACAATCCACGCAGGTGTCCGATCTCACTACCCAGAGACGAATGAAATACTAGAAGTTCTAGTCTACTTGAAAATATGCCAGCTCTTACCTGGGATTGAACCCGAAACCTCTATCATTCGAGGCGCACACCATGCCTCGAGACCACGCCACCCCTTCCTCTACCCCCCCCCCCCCCCAACATGTCAATTTCTAGTCTTGATGATACCAGCGACAATCTGATTTATGTATGTATGGACTTTTCCCAAGTTTGATATGTCGGCCAGATTTCCTGGCCACTACCAGCTAACACCTTTGTAGTTTTTCCACACCTCCCGGGCACATTTGGCTACGAATAAAACTAATCGGCTCGTGATTTAGTCAACATTATATTGGCCGCTTTTATTTCACAGGACTTTACCTATTCGAGATTTGGTCGACCTGGGAGCCAAGATCATTTTTTTAAAATAAAGGGTTTACACCCATTGCCTTTGGATCCACAGGCTGGGGTCTAGACGCTACACCATAAAGGATCTCGCCAATTGTGTTGACAGTAAAGGCCCATTGGGAGTATAGGACTAGAGCGATTTTTTGTTGACCAATCAGCACTCGGTGGGTGATAAAGAGTCTATTTCATATCGGCTGCTTTTACTATTCAAGACTTGGTTGTAGTAATGTCTTCGGGCCCAAAGAGACCGTGATTTGCCGTTCACTCATGCTTGCTAACCTTTGACATGCGCTAGTCTAAGTAACAGGGGTGTCACGTTGTTTTGTGTTATGCATATAGAGGTACACGTTGTATTTAACTTATTGTTCTGCGGTCGGTGACGTTGCGCATATTAGAGCCGTGAAGCAGGACATGAATGTAGTTCAGCTGTCAGCGTTGATATTCGGCAAGCAGACGACGTTGGTTTTTCCCATAGTTTCGAGCGTCGGCCATATCCTCTTGTAACCGCTCGCAGTGCCATTCTCCTCAGACCGTAATGATTTATCTGTTCCTCGGCACTGTTCACTCGCTCCCAAAGGGCCCTCACAACATATCCACAGGTATCTAGCAGATACGCCACGGTAACTCCCTCACAATTGTGTTAGCAATAAACAAACAAACAAACAAGCATACACACACACACACACACACACACACACACACACAATTAGGGGCGGGGGAATGAACTAATAAACAAGAAGTGACAAATATTTTCAATGTCTGGTCAGAAACATCAAACCTAATAATATCTTCCAGAGGAAGGGAGGGGCAATGGTTCTTGGAGACATGGGGGTCGCGTCAATCATGGGCGACCTCAGGTCAAACACCAGACAAACATTTCGTAAGTCAAGTGTTTCGTTTATGTTGGTCAGGGAAATCCGTATGTAGTCTGAAGGCCATGCCTCATTTTTTTACAGCAGTTAAGCGTTGCATAGTTAGTATCGTTTGTAAGAATGTTGGGTAAACCTTACAAAGATCTCCCCAGGTCAGTTAGCCCTGCCTATGTACACACTAGGTCACTTTTGATTGGTGCTTGCTTAGGCTCGTCAACTTTGCTGAAGGCTATGGAGGTCTCCCGGTGTACTGTTTGCTCAAAAAGCTTTCTGTGCTGTTTTCCATTGACGTTTTCATTCAGAGATAGAGAATGAGTGTGATCTATGTTGCAGCATTCTTGTAAGGGAAAGGGGGAGGAGGGGGAGGGGGTGTTAGGGCCAGTTCTGCATGGTTTTGGAGTGTTAAAAGCACTGATATCCTGGAATATACAACACCGTTGATATCGCGTGTGGTATTTCCAGGCATGTCAGCGATCCCCCGTAACCTTCAGCAAAGTTTACAAGCCTAACAAATTATAAATGAACAGTGACATAGAGCGTAAATGGGCGGAGCTAACTGACCTGGGGAGATTTCCGTAATATTCAAAAACACTTTTTATAGACTGCTTTCTTGGCGTCTGCTGCTACATTTTATTGGTCAGTGTCATTTGTCTAATAAGCTTATTTGCTTTATTACGTCTAAATCCGATCTCATAAATGAGAAGTCAAAATCGACAATAGATGTAATAAAGCAAATCAATAATTTATTGAACAAATGACATCAGTACTTGGGGTAGGGGGGGGGGGTTGGGGGGGAGAACTAGGAAAGTACTCTATAACCACGTTCTTTAACCTGCTGTGTGCGGACCTGCACAGATCATTCAGTCCCTATAAAGTTCTTGGGGGCCCACCAGCAATGTCCAATCAAAGTCATGAAGCGGTCACGTGCTAGCAGTTAACATTTCTTAGCCAACAATACTGGCACAAAGAAACCAGACCACAGTTTAAACCATTACTGCTGACAGTAGATTGAACGTAGTAGATTTTGTGTTTTGTTTTGCGTGGATGGTTGGCTAGCTTGAAGTGGTGGCGGATGGATTTATGAGTGCTTGGGTGCTTGGATGAAGTGCGAACGGGTGAATGAATGGTTTAATGGATGATTAAGTAAATGGATCGACGAGAGAATGGATGGAGGAATGGTTGGATGACTGAAGGGATGGATGAATTTAAATAGCGAGGAGATGGTCGAGAGTATGAAATAAGGAGTAGCTGGACAATGTGTGGATGGATGAGTAAGTGGGTGTTTGAATAGATGCGTTTATACATTAACGTATTCGCGGGTAGATTTCTGCATGAAAGGATAGATAGATTGATTAATAATTGAATGGATTAGTCTATGGATGGATAGACGAGAGCGTGAATAGAGCAGTTCCACGATAATCTCCCCAAACAAACTAGGTCACATTCCATTCATAAAATTTTTAAACTGGACTGCTGTCAGGGGGGTTGCGGGTTGCCGCTATGTTGTTTTTCTGGCTCGTCTTGCATTTACTTTTTTTCTTCCATGAAAGAGAATGCCTGTGACATACGTTGCAGCAATCTTCTGGAGGGTTGTGTGTTAGATCCAGTTTCTAAATGTTTTTGTACTGTTAAAGGCTCTGGTGTGCTTAAATACACAACACGCGATATCAACGGCATTGCCGAACACCCCAGTAGCAGTGTGTGAAGGTTGGGTGACTGAAGGTCGACCAATCAGTAGTGAGCTAGTGTGTATATGCGCGGTCTGTGGGGGAGATTATCGTAGAACTGACCCCTGAATGATAGTAAGGTGAGACATCATCTTATTGGTGCACATATTCCTTCAATTATCCCAGAGGGGACCGTGTTCATGGCCCCGGAGATTGGGCAGCATCATCACAACACTAAGACAGACCTGTACTCTGTTGGGGGTGTACTGCTGAACCTGCTCACCACCTCCATGTTCTCCGAGCACGACTACTACAAGAAGCTGGGCCAGATCAAGGAAACTCCGGAGGAACTTAGCGTAGTCTTGGACAAGGTTTCAAATGTGAGTAACCTCTATGTCTCCTGGTGACCAGGCGTGATCAGTTTACATGTGTAAGTGCTAGCACGTAACGGTTACTCTGGAAAGCGTATCAAGTGATATTTCCTTCATCTTTGCTTTGCTGTTGACAGTATGCATGTGCAGCCAGCATCTTTGTGCTAGTAACTGGTAACTTTCACACGTTACAGTTACTGCATGAGTGTCTAAGCATGCAACGAACATTCTTGTCGCTATGATAGAGATGTAAAATGAGTAGCGTATTTGTAACAAATAGTAAACATTGATAATAAAGAGTAAACTAGTGCATGTTTTTTTTGGAAATGGAAAGTGTAAGCGACGATCACTGCTGTCTCCAGATTGACCCATTCATTTCATTACGCTTTCTGTTTATGAACTTTTTTTCTTTACATAGATGATCATTTTTTCTTTCAATTCAGTGCTTCAAATGAGTCAACAAATAAAGTTACCAAAATAAAAATGCATGCTGATTTTATGGATTAATTTGTTATTGTTATGCTTGTCCTAAAATTGACAACTGTGTGTGGTTTTTTTTTTTTAATAGACATATACAAAGACGATGATAAACACCGTACAGATGTTGCTTCGGCATAAACATTCTAATCGACCGAGCACTTTGTAAGTAAAATAAATTTATAGTTCATGACATAATATTTCCATTATCTTTTCCCCTAATCGTAACGTATTTGGTTTTAAGTAGTATTTGGAGTAGTAGCGGAACATCTTGTTGGGCGGCGATAGCAAGACCAAGGAATATATGGATGGACGGCGTAGCTGAAATTGATGAACAAAGCCATCATTCAAGCCATTAAAGAAGCGCGGGACAAATACACAAAAACATGATACATTGGCTACAACCTGGTGGCAGTGAGACGATAAAAGAAGAAGATATAGTAGTTGTTGCAGCTGTTCTAGTTCTTGTCGTTACTGCTGTTGTCATTACTCTTGTTTTTGGTACCTTCCTGTTTTCAAATCAGTTTCTATTAGATGTTGGTCCTACGGTGATAATTATTGCTTGTGCTGTATGAGAAGAACTCCACTCGGGAGCACGCACAGCAGGGGTCCACAGGTCATCAGTAGAGATCCTTCGTCGACACTTGTTTCGGCCCTTTGCTTCCCTACACAATCTCGGAAGGTGGGCCGACCTGGATCATCAAGCCAGGTGCCGATCTTCACCGGATGCACTTAATCTGACTCAATAGGGGACAAGACTATATGGTCAATTACAACAGGTGCTGTGAGATTTGGTGTTATATTGTCGCTGCGGTAGCAAATTAAAGCAGTTTACTACCTTCTCGACCAGTGAAAGCTTATGGTTGGTTCATCTGACAATTGTTAGACTTTGGCCTTTGACAGAGAGACACCGGCAGACATTTATCAGACCCTTTGGCTTTTAAGGGATAAGACGTTCTTTTCCACTAAGGACTAGGGCCACTCTACCGAGGGCCATTCCCCACGCCGTTCCGTTGTGTCCAGAGCCAGCTAGAAGCTCTTTAAGCAGCTTCGCCCAGTTGTTTTAGTGACCGTTTACGCTCGTTTCCTCGCAAGCTTAGCACATCGTACATGGAAGTGGAGATAAGACCTCTTGAGCCTACCTCGACAGAGATGATTGTTACTGTGTACGCCTCGTCGTTCCTCTGACCGGCCACGAGATTCCCTACTTCTCGAGCTTGTACATGTATTGACTTCTCGAGCCTGCATTATAACAAGATGCCCTGACCATCTGAGCCTCGGGACTTAATCTTGTAATCTTGTATAATCCAAAGACAGAAGTAGTAGTAGCATCAAAGAAATGGATCAACCAGTGGGCAAATGAAGTCAACAATATTAATTTGTGGCAAGTGGGAAAATTCAAAATAAGGCTGCCACCATACATAAAATACAGCTCAAGGTGTGAGGAAAGTATCTTCCAATTTATCTCATCTTCATCGTCATACAGCAGGTCTTTAAACGAGTGACAGTGGCGTTCGTGGCTTAGACGTTGCGATTCTGACTCGTAATTCAAACGTACCGCAATCGAAACCCACAGTTGGCGGCGTAGATTTTTAACATGTTATGGGGCGTCGCATGTCGACCCAGCCTTCAAAAAGTACCAGGATGGCTGTCCTGTGGAAGTAATGACGGCCGGCGTAATGCTGACCACATTACACACCTAGGGCCAATTGTACAAATATGGGGTGCCATTCCCCTATACCCGATGCGCCCAATGGCGTGAAAAGGGATCGTTACTTTTTACTTTACTTACAGATCGACACAACAAGCCAGAAGAGACTAAGTCCCCTGCCAGCTGTCAGCTCTCTCGCCTCATTTACTTCACTATCCGGCTGTTTCTTATGTCCTGTGCCCATCATTATGCTATTAGGTCACTGTTCCTCTTATCCTCTACCATGCACTCTGCTCTTTTCTTTCGACTCCACCGTGACGTTTGATATAACCAAAGAATATTAATATTTGTTTTTTCTTAGTCCAGATATTCTGAGACTGTTTCTGTAGCATTTCAGCTGAAAATCTCCTGTGGTCTCTCACCCTCCCCCCCCCCCCCCCCCCCCTTTTCTCTTTTTCCTAATGATTGTAAGATAGTCAAAGAATCACATCCGTATGTTCTGAGGTTTTAAACAACAGATCAACATCCTGGCACACGGGTGTAACCCATAAGTGCTCCGTTCTTTCTCTAACTTAAGTCTGTCTGAAAAAGCTTAGCACAGTGCACAGACTCTGTAGCACCACCGAGGATCCCGAAATACTTTGGGTAGATCCATATGTGTGCAACAGGGAAGGTGAATGTTTTCAACTGTTGATGTTAGTTTGCTTTTTGGTGCTTAGTCATAGATTTTTAAAGACTTACTTTATTTACTCGCGGATGCGTGGTCTCGAGGCATGGTGTCCGCCTTGTGTGTTAGAGGTTCCGGGTTCAATCCCCAGTAAAGGCTTGGATTTTTTCACGTGGACTTGGACTTTTAATAATTTTTTCTGGTCTCTGGGTTGTGAGATTAGACGCCCGTGTGCATTGTTTCGCACGTAAAAAATTGCTTGGCAGTTGGAAATCGAAAACAGTAGCCTAACGGCGCTGCTTAGGCGAAAGTTTGGGTTAAAAACTCACCTAAAGTATTTCAGGATCTTCGCCGATGCTACAGTGCCTGTGCACTGTGCTGAGCTTCTTCGGAGTTTGAAGAAAAACGGAGCACTTATGTGTTACTACCCGTGTGCCATGATGTTAATCCGTTGTTTAAAACCTCAAAACCTCAAACTGTTATGACTCTAAGTGCTTGATTTTGTACCTTGTCTAACCTTTATAGTGCGGTTTTTGATGCTGAACTCCACGCAGTCGACCTGTGTTCACTGTGTGACCTTACACTTTTTTGATAAAATTTCCAAAGCATTTTCCTATTTGTGCCCCATGTTGTTTCACTTAGTTTTTTTCTGATAGCTATCTTCCTTTTGCTTTTGGCCTTGTTAAGTTTTCTCCAATTTAACATATCAACAGACGTTACTACGAGGTATGTAAAAATCAAATGCAATGTCTCTCAGTGTCCCATTTGAAAAACTGGTGAACAAACCTGAAAAAGTCCAGAAATATGCGCACACAGTAAATGCATATGGCAGTTGCTAGAGGCGCCAAAGCCAACAGTCGCCACCAGAAATGCAGTGTGTCGTTAATGGAAGCACTCTGTCACAATAAGAAGAGTGGGTATCAGGTGCAGTCCTGGGAAGTAAAGCGACCGGCGTAATGCTGACTACATCACACACTAAATGGCGATTGATCTGTAAAATTATAAGCCTAGCCCTATATTCCCAATACATCTAACGGCGTGGAAAGCGAGCGTCCAGTTGCTGCAACACGGCGGCTTACAACCTAGATGTGGTGTCAAAGATACGAGCGTGTGTGTGTGTGTGTGGTGGAACGGGGTCGGTGAAGTTTTAATGGCTCACTTGCTGTGTCATATGCTACTGTTCTTTAACATTTACCATCACCTCCAGGTCATGCCGGTGTGTTGGGAAATAAGCAGGTGGATAGACTGGCCGGTTCTGCACCACTTGGTGGTGAACTGATGTATGACAAGCTGGATGTTTTGAGGGCCCTTTGGGAGCGAGTGAACAGTGCCGAGGCACAGATTGATCATTACGGTCTGAGGAGAATGCCACTGCGAGGAGTTACAAGAGGATCTGGTACTCAGGGGAAAGTTATTATTGGTACAATTTATTGCTGGTACCATCGGAATTTTAACTCTTCGCTTGCTGCTGAAGATGGGGACGGAGCGCTTATTGGGGGAAAAGGGGGGGGGGGGCATCGCGAGTGCTGTGGTGTCGATTCTTAATTCAACATTCAACATTACCATCACCTTTAGTAAATGAATTTGAAATGATATTTTAGGGAATTCATCAAATCCGGATTTGTGCAGGAGTGCATGGCACTAGCAGACCTTGGCCAGTTGGTCAGGAGTTCCTGGGAAAAGGATGAAAGATCCACCAAGCTTTGTAAGCATTCTGTCATGTTTATTTCATTTTTTACTCTTATATATACATATATATGGACTCCCCAAGCTTATTTTAGCCATGATATCTAACAATAGATGACTTCTTGTAAAGACAATTAGTTTTATTAGTGGACTTCAAGCAAAGAGGGACGCGTGCAAAGGCACCGATACAAAGAAACCGGGAGGAAAAGATGGGGGAGGAGGGGGCTGTCTTTTTAGGGGATTGAGGGCGCTCAATGTTCGTAAAGCGCCACCACCCCCTACCCTCGGTTTTAGTACCAATGGAAGCATGAGTCATGTGCCCATTCAAAAATATGATAATGTATACTTACAACCAGTATGATAGTAACACGTGTCACTGTGAAAATCGTGTGTCTAATAAACCATATGATAATATTTTCCTTGCTTGATACTGTTTTACAGCCCATCTTTCTTGATGTTAACATCTTTTAGGATGTTAGTATTTCTTTTCTTCTCGGTATATGGTATTCTGGGAACCTGTCTCTAGCATTTGAGCTTTAAAGTTTGAGGTTTGAACAATGGATCCACATCATAGCACACGGGTAGCAACCCATAAGTGCTCCGTTCTTTCTTTTAACTCAAGTCTGAGTCCGAAGCTCAGCACAGTGCACAAGCTCTGTAGCACCGGCGAGGATCATAAATTACTTACTTTGAGTAGATTTTTAACTGCCGAGGGATTTTTTTTTTTACGTGCGCAGCAATGCATACGAGCGTCCGATCTCACTTCCCACAGACCAGGGGGAACTACTAGAAATCCAAGTCCACATGAAAAAAATCCCAGCCCTTACTGAGGATTGAACCAGAACCTCTAGCACTCGAGGCGGACACCATGCATCGAGACCACGCAGCTGCTTCAGTTTAAAAACCCCTATCTATGTTCTTCTTGACGACTGTGATATGGTCCACGACTGACATCTTTTTGTTGCTACAGGGATGACGTATGCTCCACACATCTTGATTTAACTCCCTTGCTGGTGCTTAACCATAGACCCATAGACTGGTAATGCTGTTTAATCTTTGTATCGCTCTGGTCATCCTCCTTTTGACGTGGGTTTATTATGGATCCTAGATACTAAAAAACTACTTGACATGTAAATTTTCTTCATTTATTGTCCCTCAGATCAGCTCACGGAGAACCGCGACGACGCTTTCACGGTTTTGAAGTACATCGCAGACACTATGGACAATGAAGAATGTCTGGCCGATGGCTTATCTGCCCTTGCAGACATCTTGCGGGACAATGACTCGGCCCATGAGTTGATCGACCAGAAAGCCAGAAGCTTGATCGTTTTAGCCTTGTGGAACAACATCTTCAACAAAGACATCCAAATTGCTGGCTGCTACATTCTCAGCAATTTGATAGTGTCCGGTAAGGAATCTGCTTGTGTGTGTGACAATCATCGTGTAAGTAAAGTGAAGGACCATTGTTATACCAGTATCGTGTGCAATTATTGATACGAGACTCCTTATTTGATAGATCCAAATCAGCACAAATACATGCATACTTCAAAAACTGAAGATTGCAGAAGGTTGGCTGTTTAAGACGATAAAACACAGACAACTGAAATATTTTGGTCACTTAAAACGTCGCGAAAGTTTAGAGAAAACAATAATGGAGGGGAATATGCCTGGGAAGAGAGGAAAAGGAAGGCCAAAGAGAAGATAGGTGCAGGATCTGGCGGATGATCTCCAAATGGGTGTATCAGATGCAATACATCTTGCTTGTGACTGAGAAGTGTTCCGGGGGGTTGTTATGGGAGCAAGGTTCTGCAAAGGACATGCTACTGAATGACTGACCGACTCTCTGACTGACTGAATTGGCACTTGATGGATGATGTTGTGAACATCACCCATAGCTGCATTTACTTCCCATGGAATTTTACCGGATACCCATTTAAGGTTATGTCGACATGAGAGCGTAAGTCATTTCTAAAGGGGGAAAAAATCAGGTTCGATGTGGATTTGAACGCAAGACCTTCAGGCCGGCGCGAAGATTGCCGCTTTTCACTGCGGCTATAAGATATTCCATGCGTCATCCTGTAGGGCCCTGACATTTATGCTTTCTCTTTCCCTTCCGTCACTCTGCGGCTAAGTCTCTTTACTATAGCTGCGGGCCATGCCTTGCGTTGTTTCGACATGTATGAAGTGTCATGGCAAACTCTGGATGTCCCACCAGAGGCCATGTGGCTAAGGCATTCTGACATTTATGCCTTTGTCTTTCCTTTCCTCTGTTTGTTTTTAAATCAAAATTGCCAGTTGTCATTTTGTCTTTCTGTAGTCCATACCGTGTGGCGTTGGTAACCATGTGGATCACCAACCTTCTGTCTCGTGTACTTTTAATCAGTTCTGACACAGATGATCTTCCATGCGATGATGTCAAACTGTCCAGCCTTTTCTCTCCCTGGCCTTCCTCTGCTTCTTTTTCCCCTCCAACTTTCCCACTGTTATGATGTGCTCCAGTTTTCTCCTTCTCATAACACGGCTAAATAATGTAGATTGTCTCCCTCTGATGCGGGTAGTCGGTTCTCTACATGAGTCTGTTGTCTTTCAAGACATCTTCATTACTTTGTTTATCTGTCCAAGGTAGTTGTCATTAAGCTTTTGTTCATTGTTCATTGTTGATTTTAAAGATCTTCTTCATCTCACATCGGACATGACCATAAGTGTATCAGACAGAGCTACTGTTTCCGTACGTACGCCGCCTTGATCTTCTGAAGCATTCTCACTGAGTCGCTGAGCAAACATGCATTATTGAATCTCTGAGCTTTCACCCATTCCAGGGTCTTTGTCACAGCCATGACCTCCATTGTCATGCAGCTGGTGGTAGAAGCAAAGGTTCTTCTACTGTCTTCTTTGATGACACTCCCTTTTGTCTTTGCCTATAAAGCCAATGCATTTCGCTTCTGCCGAATCACATATATATAACAGCATCTTCCGGCAATGTGTGTGTCTGCATCGATGCTTTCAATTTTGTTTGGATGCGTCCGGGCGCGCTTAATATGAGTTCTTGACAAAAATCTCATAAGATACTATGGATCCAATCATTCAAACCAGCCTTGATAAGTATCTTAGCACTGAATGGTTTTTTAATTCAAAAACCTTATTTTCATATGTGCTATGTGCTTACACGTTTTTCTTCAAAAAGGGTTAGGTGCAAGCTATATCTGGGATATTCCAGCATTTTGACCTGTCTCTTCTGAAACGCGTTCATTAAATGTAAGTTGTATTGCCGCTCAGGAAACCTTCAGTGCTAGTTCCATTATGCTTAATGTGTGTGCAATGTTAAAACACTAATTTAGAAAGATTTTATATGGCAAATCTCTAAAGGCGTGTTTGTTAACGTTTTGTAAATGAACTCTTTAACTACCTATTTGTTAACGTTTTAAACTTGAAGTGTGTATGTACCCATTTGTTAACGTTTTATACTTGAAGTGTGTAAGTGCCCATTTGTTAACATTTTATGCACGAAGTCTGTAAGTATCCATTTGTTAACGTTTTACACAAGAAAACTGTTTAGTACCCATTCGTTAACATTTTATACATGAAGTCTGTATGCACCCACTTGTTAACGTTTTATTTAGAAGTCTTTGTGTGCATATTTTGTAAAGCTCCATATATAATGGTATCTTCTGTGTTTCTGGAAACTTATATATTTTAATCAAGTGAACATATTTTGCTGCTTTATTTCCATCATTTATACACCAGCGAAACCCAGTGATGTCCTCTTCTGCCAAGATGTGTACACAATTATACACAAGATCATGACGGTAAGTGTGCATGTTCTTGCTGCCATCACTATTGTATCTTGTCGGTGTGTCCGCCCTTGTTCAGATATAACTGAGACACTGTACACCAGTATCCCGTGCTACCTGTCTTTTGTTAACGCTGAATGTTTGGCGATGCATAGTAAACCTGACATCCCACATTACGCCAACAGCTTCAGGCGGAGGAGAACGCTGCAGGGGGATACTAGCCTTATCCTAGGAAGAGGAACTGCAACATGACAATTTTTTGTTAAGGTAGGGCAGACCTTCATATGGACACTGAAAATAATGAAAGGTAAAAGAAAACGGGGAAGACAAAGAGAAATCCTGCGTAGAACCATCATAAGGGAAGGGTCAGCCATGGGCCTAATGAGCATCCAAAACCTAAAACAGTTGGTAACGAACCACCAGACATGGAGAGCTATGACCTCTGTCCTATGCATCGCCCTAGGCTCTCAAGGAAAGACTAACTAAGGACAGGCCAGACTTTTGGCTCTTTGCCTTGGCTGGCAGCTGGTCTAGAAGGTAGACTCCGACAGGAACAGACACAGCAATGCTCTACTGAACCGGCAGCATCTGCAGCGTACTTTATTTTAAACGTACTGGTGTTACCTTTCCTCTGGAGTAAACAAGGCAGACCGAGACGAGATCATGGTACACGGGCAACAGATGATCCCTACCATAATGCTTCAGCTTTGTGTTGTAGAGAGAAGGAACTTCATCCTTTTTCTAAAGCTTTCGGGGCTAATTTTTTTCATGGCGCCCTGACCTAAGTAAAAATATGACTAATTGTATGTAACAGATATTTAAAAAAAAGTGTATCTTCGAATATTTTGCGGTGCCCCTGTGAAGAGGTCGCGGCTTCCCGAGGTGCCGCGGCGCACAGTTTGGGAATCACTGACCTAAACAACTTATTGTGAAATTTAAAGATAGCTGTCTTTTGGGTTTCGGTGCCCCAATGGGGGCCGGGGAGGGGGAAGGGGTGTTAGACCCACTGTCTACTAACTGACAAAATGTAAAAGACGACTAATTAAGAGTGTTTTTCTTATAAAGCCGCAGTGCATCTACCTGAGAGGCTAGGAACAAACAGTCTGCATGCAGCTTTGTATGACAAATGGGTGTGCATGTAAAACCCAAGTTTTAAAACAAGACCGAATGGACAAACAACCAGAACCCCCCTCCCCCCCCCCCCCCCCCCCCCCCGGAGTTCACAGCCGGTGTCGCTAAGAAGAAGATAAATGAGATTCTGTTTCCTGTCTAAGGATTCATGTTTTCAGTATTGAGTCTGTTAAAATGTCTGCATTTCTTGTATGTGGCTCTTCACATAAGTTTTGTCATATTTCTTGTTCTCCCTTCAGGGCCATGAGTACAGCCCAGAAGTCCAGCTTGCGGCGGTTGATTTGATTTTGGCGTTGTCAGCAAATGGTATTTAATTGCTAATAAACTGCACGATTAATTAATGTGTGAGACCAAGAGTGCAGTCTTACTGCATGGGTAAGACTGGGTCCTTACAATACTATCCAGGCTCTGTGTTATGGATAGGAGGAATTTCCCCTATGGATTTAATTGGCATTCCTAATGGTTGTGAAATGCATGTGGAATGCGCTGTCTCCGCAAGGTTACTAACAACATAAGATGAGACAAGCTAATGAATACCTGCATTAGAGAGAAAACATTGGAATAAGACCATGTCTGGTTTATTTTGACAGGTAAAGAACGAAATGGTTCAGCCATCTAGTGAAAATGCAGCCAGACCAGACTGTATATTAGACTTTTTACAGTACAATATCTGGGAGGAAGGCAAGAGGGGGACCAAGAAAGATACGGATCGATGGTGTAGCTGGAAACCTGCACAAAGATGAACAAATCGATCACCAAAGCTACACGAGAAGAGCAAGACAATTTCAGAAAACCACGCAGTTATTTTCTGTTTTAGTGCCCTATTCATTGTCCAGATTTGGCACTGATAAAACATTAAGTATGGATAGAGAGGCTATTATTCATTAGATGTTTTGCAGGAAATTAGACATTTGGGTGTCTAAGAAGTGTGGCTAACTGGTAGGTGACAGCATTCGCTTAAATTCATCCAATGTTTCTTGAGTAGTAACAGTTAAATACACCACTGCCGGCCTGCTAGGCCCGTCGCGTGGCAAGGCAGGAAAAAATCTGACCTGATTGGTGCCGTCATTTTCCAGGCGAACCATCGCCCCTTCAGTTTTCTGGCGTGCATCACGAGGAGGTGAGGTTGACCTGGGTGCTTTACGGATCATTGACAGACTACTTAAATTTCACACCTCTCTGAAGAGATGCTAGTCAACCTAAACACTGCTGGGTGCCGTGCCAAGCGTCTGAAGAGAAGCTAGCCAACCTAAACACTGCTGGCTGCCGTGACAAGCGCCCGAAGAGAAGCTAGCCAACCTAAACAATGCTGGCTGCCGTGCCAAGCTCCTGAGCACACCCTTTCACGCCAATGTTGGTAAAAATACTGTATTAAAAAAGTGCATCAGAGCATTTATAAACTGAACGGTTCGAGGTGCAATAATGATTAATTGTTGATTAACTAATTAACTAACTAACTATAATGCATGTATATTTTTGTATTACTTCACAAGTTGTCTATAGTATCTGTTTGGAATTTTGTTAGTTCTTGTAAAGAGTTCTCTATGACGGTATTGACTCGGTTTAGAGGTTGGCATAGAGGTCAGGACTTTTCTTTTCTGGTGGTACTGAGCGGTACGCAGTACCATTACCTTTTTAATGCATCATTTTTTGAAGAGCTTCTGTGTTAGACAATTTGTGGTGCGTACCGGCATCTAATTTTTTGTTATTTTGGGGGGGGGGAGGGGGGAATTTTATGGCAAGTACCAAGGCTTTAAGTTTTCTTGGGGAGGAAAGGGGGGGGGGGGAGGAAAAGGGCCTGGTGTAACCAATATTAACATAGTACAAAGACAGAAATGAAATAATTTGTCCACCTAATGGGAACTGCTTCTGACCCCATAGCAAAAAAAAAAAAAAAAAAGAAAGCATGTGCGGGGCGAGGGATGGGAGAACAGGAGAGCAGCATATAATGAACAAGTGACCTTTTTTTTTCTTCGCAAAGGGTCACAGATTGGGCACCCAGGCCGTCTTCTATTCGACCCTTCCAAATACTCATCTTTCACACGGCAGTTGTATTTTACACAGCTGCAAGTTTTCTCCAGGACAGTCCCGTTTTCTCCAGGACAGTCCCGTTTTCTCCTATGCAGTCCCGTTTTCTCCAGGACAGTCCCGTTTTCTCCGTTTTCTCCAGGACAGTCCCGTTTTTCTCCAGGACAGTCCCGTTTTTTTCAGGACAGTCCCGTTTTCGCCAGGACAGTCCTATTTTCTCCAGGACGTTCCTGTTTAGCCTGGTCAGTCATGTTTTCACCGGAACCGTCCTGTTTTTTCCCGGACTGTCCCGCGGGTACCCAAAAAAATAAAAGTGTTCCAAAAAACTAGGAATTTACTCAAATACAAATATAGTTATGATTAGACAATTTTCAAAGATTGTAGCATTTTCAGTATCCCCCCCCCCCCCCAACCTCTCTGTGCCTTTAAAGAGCATATTGTTTTCTTTATTTTTTGGTGACTGTGGTTCAGGTTTTCAATATCAATGTTGAGCGAGCAATTACTGCCAATAACTACCCTTCCACCGCGGTGACCTAGAAACGAACGGGGTATGATTAAACTGACATGCTTGGTATTATCCGTTTTCAGCCCACAAATATTATGGTCACCCTTTTTGAGGATGGCAAAGAAGGAGAAGTCGATAATTCTGATAATGACTATTTAAGTATGCAGTGTTTATTTACCAAATGGGCACATATATTATTTTCTGAACAGAGAAAGCCGCACAGGCGATAGTTCAGCTGGGTGGTATCCAGGATACATTGCGAGCCATGAGACATGCCAGGTACCATGCCACACTCAATGCCGTCTGCTGCATGGCACTTTGGAGTTTGACTATTGATAGTGAGTCGTGTTTGTTGGTTTTTAATTCTTTATTATGACACCTGTGACTTAGGGGGTGAGAACACAAATTTGTAATTTCCAGGTACTTGGTTTGATTCTAGCTGCAGGCGATTTAGCAGCGGACCGCTTTGCTGTAATCTCGACAATGATATCCAGAGCCGACCTTTCAATGAGCACTAGCAAACTATAGACAGAAAACTGTTCTAGTCAAACCATAAACCGCCAAACAAATGTCGGGGTTTGCAACATCCTCTAACGGCGCTTCCTGCTGAAGATGGAATGGAACGCTTATGTCCAGAGTACTATGCGTTCTTCCCCTGCCTTCCTTTGAGGGCTAACAGTTCCACATAGGGCTGCCTCAAAGGATGTACTCCGAGGGCAACACCTGTAGAGAAAGGGACAAAGAGGACACCACACAAATCAGGCAACATCGCAACCCACACAAAACAATGGCCACAGTCATCCTAGAAATAGGCCTGATGTCTTCCCTCGAAGTCGGAGTTCATCTGCCCGTGGGGCAGGAAACGGGCAAAAGACCAGTAAAACGATTGTACACGCAAAACTCAGGTCCAGGTAAAATCCAAAAGTCCAAGCGGACGATTAACCGGGACCTTCCGACGGAATTCACAGCCAGTAAACACAGAAGAAAAAGAAAACTATGAGCTCTTACAGCCGGAGTTCACAGCTGGCGAACACGAAGAGGAAGAAGATTATGTTACCTTCCTAGTGTTTAGATTTTTCATTACCAAAAAACGTCATCATACTGCCTCGAGAAAATGAAACATAAGGTAATACGGTTGCTTCTAGAACCATCACTTGTTTGCTAGGAGATAAAATACTGCGCACTGTTATAATAGGCTGAAAATCAACAGCCTTGCCATTACCCTTCTAGAACCATCACATGTTTATTAACAGAGAGATTATGATATTATGATATGAATAACTTAGTTATTTAAATAATATTTAATTTACTTTTGTTGACGTGCCCAAACAGAGAGAACCTTGTCGCTTATGCTTTTTAGTTCTAGAAGACCTTAGAAGGCCAGCTGCCATTCAGGTACAGAGCTAGATAATGCAATCCAGACACATTTAAAAAATCCTATGTTGAAACCCTACGTAGTAAACAAGTTTAAGCAGACTAAAACCACCTAGGAGCAGTCATCGTGTAGAAAACACATTGCACACATTTCCAGCATCTCTATATAAATAGTGGGTAAGAAACCACTTGAGCAAGCTTCAGTCCTCGAGACTTGGAAGAAGAGGGGCTAGTCATATTGATCCGCACTGACGAGAACCTTCAGTCTGCAAGACTTGGAATTTGGACGATCATCATTGTCGTCGTCTATACCCTTCCAATTAACTCCTCCTGTAGCCAACCAAAGATGAACTTAAGTGTGACATCAACACACACACACACACGCACACACACATACAGACACACACACACGCACACAAGAGAGAGCTGTGCTATAATAAATCTTACATAATACCTTTTACCCTTTACATTTTTTGTTGTTGGTATCTTTTCATCTTTCCATGCTTTGGTTTTATACTACGAAATGAGATGTCTGAGAGAGGAAAGGCCGTGAACAAAACTGGAAAAGACCAAGTGAGAAACAAAAAAATTACAAGAACTATTCTAATAACAACTATAACTAATTTCATTGAAAAACACAGATGAAATTTGCCATGGATTGAGAATGAATCCAATAATGCCAGCAACGAGAGTGCACAACTTGAAAGTAAAAATACAGAGAGATAGGGAATGACCAAGAAGAACATGGATTGAAGGAGTCACCTATACTACATCACAACATACCGGGTATCTGAGCGTGCCCTAACTCGGAAACCGATCACCTGTTTACCTGCTACACAAAGCAGAATATGGACACCGGAAAACCAGAGAGGCGCGAAAATCACAAACAAAGAAGGCCAGGAATCAAGTTCATTTTCTTTAAAGCACAAGGACTAAACTGTACTGTAGACCATGTATTGCCCACGTAGCATGACCCCTTACTCTGCATGCTTTGGTTATCTCCAAAGGAAAGTAGCCAGTAGATTAGCAACAGCGCATTGGGAAAACAAAAATAAATTGATTTAAGTATAAATATTCAGCGTTGTAGCAGACGAAGCAACTAATTTAAGATTTAACATTCTGCAATCTTGTGAAAAAAAAAAAAACAGGTGAAAGCTTGAAAATTGCCGGTAAAGAAAACGCGGCCAAAGATGTGTGCCTGGCACTGTCTACACATAAAGTGTCGCCTGATGTATGCGAGGCCGCTGCAGCCGCTCTTTTCTCTCTGCTCTTGGACGGTGGGTACACATTTGAATTATGCATTCATTTATTATAGGTTACTTTTTTCTGCTCTCTTCTGATTCTCATGGCTTTAAAAAAAAAAATCTACAAGAGGTGCTGACGCTCACCACAAAGTGTATAAAAAAAGGTCTTGGTACTCACTATGTAGTTTTTTTTTTTTTTACTAAGTAGGTTCCGGGGACCTATTATAGGGAAAACAAGACTAGAGTCACTGCCTGCCTAAAGCATGTCGTAAGAGTAGACTAATTTGGAGCTTCCTTCGAGGTTGGAGTGTATCTGCCTGAGAGACAAGGAACCAGCAGTCTGCATACAGATGAGTCAGATCCGTAAAACGGATGTACATGCAACACTCAGGTTCTGGAACAGGACTGCAGTCCAGAAGTGGGTGAACAGCCAGAACTTTCCGCCAGAGTATACAGACGAAGAAGAAGAAGAGTATGAAGTTTCTATCCCAGTCACGCTAAATAAAATATTGCCCACAAAAAGGTGCTGGTAATCCGTACCTTTGCCTACCACCAGGAAAAGAAAAGCCCTGCTTATTCTCATCGTTTTAACCTTTAGAGTAAACCTTCAAAGGCCAGGTTTTTACACACCACGGCCTTCTCTATTTATATTAGAGAAGGCGTTGTTACACACCTACCTATAAATTGCGAGATACTGGTTTCAAGTGTGTATGTGCGTGCGCACACACGCGCATACAGTGTTGCCATTTATTCCACAGCAAAACAAAGAATGCAGTTTACAAATAGAACAATGATGGAGTTACTGATTGGATGTATTTAAGGACAATCTTCAGGAATTTTATGCGATGGAAAGCTTTGTTATTTTTTATTTTTTTTATTTTTTTTTTTTTTCCCCCTAGAGCAATGGTCCTAGGTTCAGGTCCCGGTGAAGACTGTGATTTTTTTTTTCACGTTGATTTTTAGTAATTTTCCCCTGGTCTCTGGGTAGTAAAATTGGACACCCATGTGTATTGTTGCACACGTAAAAGATTCCTTGGCATGTTGGAAATTGAAAAAAAGTAGCCTAACTGAGTTGCCTGGGCAAAATCTGGAGTTAAAATCTACCCAAAGTATTTCAGGATCCTCGCCGGTGCTATGGAGTTCGTGCACTGCGCTAAGATTCTTCGGACTCAGACTTGAGTTAAAAGTAGAACAGTGCACTTACGGGTTACGTTCCTTGTGCCATGCTGTTGATCCTTTGTTTAAATCTAAACCTAGTCATAATTTGCTCTTTTTTATTTGCTTCTCAGTGAACGTGTCCTAGTATTGCTGTTCCTTGTTCTTATGTTACTTCTTATTGTTTCATGATTGTTTCCTTTTATTTTGCAGATGGTTGCTATGATATTTTTGATGAGCTAGACTGCATTGGGAATTTAGTTGCTGCGATTCATATGCATACAAAAAATGCGAAAGTAGTCAAGAATTGTTGTAAAGTCCTGGCCACCGCAGTGGAAGCAGACGGTAATTATTCGAAAACTGTTATAGTGACACACGAAAGAAATAAGCAACAGATAAGCAATATTTTCACATTTTAAATTTTAACAAGGAAGACACCAACTTCAGATATTTCGCTCCATTTCCTTAGGTACACTCTCTCAGATTCCTGTTCCTCCATCTCATGATGCTGTCCTCCCACTTGAATCACTGTCTACTGATTGCTCTCTTGCCTTCAGCTGTTCCCTCTAGTATCGTTTTGATGTGGCCGAAATATTTATATGGTATCTTTTTGATTTCTTTCACCTAAAGTGTTTTCACTCACAGTCTCTGCTGAACCTCTGGATTTGATTGCATTTATTTCCACGATCTGTTTCCATGAAATACTGACTATCTGTTTCCATGAAATATTAACGGTCTGTTTACATAAAATATTAACTGTCCATTTCCACAAAATATTACCTGTCGGTTTCCATGAAATATTAACTATCTGTTTCTATGAAATATTACATGTTTCCTTGAAATATTAACTATCTGTAATTGTCTGTTTCCTTGAAATATTGACTATCTGTTTCCATGAAATATTAACTATCTGTTTCCATGAAATATTAACTATCTGTTTCCATGAAATATTAACTATCTGTTTCCGTGAAATATTAACTATCTGTTTCCATGAAATATTAACTATCTGTTTCCATGAAATATTAACTATCTGTTTCCTTGAAATATTAACTATCTGTTTCCATGAAATATTAACTATCTGTAATTGTCTGTTTCCGTGAAATATTAACTATCTGTAATTGTCTGTTTCCGTGAAATATTAACTATCTGTAATTGTCTGTTTCCATGAAATATTAACTATCTGTTTCCATGAAATATTAACTATCTGTAATTGTCTGTTTCCATGAAATATTAACTATCTGTTTCCATGAAATATTAACTATCTGTTTCCATGAAATATTAACTATCTGTAATTGTCTGTTTCCATGAAATATTAACTATCTGTTTCCATGAAATATTAACTATCCGTTTCCATGAAATATTAACTGCCTGTTTTCTTGAAATATTAACTATCTGTTTCCTTGAAATATTAACTATCTTTTTCCATGAAATATTAACTATCTTTTTCCATGAAATATTAACTATCTGTTTCCGTGAAATATTAACTGTTTCCGTGAAATTTTTTTTATCCTGTATAAAATGATTTAATTTGTTTTCATCAAATACTAACTATTTTGTTTCCTTGAAAAATACATTTTTTTTCATAAATACCAAATTATTTTGTTTCAATTAAATACTAACCATTTTGTTTCCTTGAAAAAACACGATCATATTTTATTTTGTTTCAATTAAATACTAACCATTTTGTTTCCACGAAAAACGATCTATTTTGTTTTCATTAAATACGAACTATCTTGTTTTCATTAAATACGAACTATTTTGTTTTCATTAAATACGAACTATTTTGTGTCCATAAAATACGAATTGTTCTTTTTCTTTTTTATCAATATGTATTTGTTTCCATGACTGCTATCTGGTTTCCATGAATGTGAACTATTGTATGCATCTCTACTGCCCGGCTCACTAACTCATTTGTTTAAACCTTACTGTGCGGCTCACTAACTTATTTGGTTAAACCTTACTGTGCGGCTCACTAACTCATTTGGTTAAACCTTACTGTGCGGCTCACTAACTCATTTGATCAAACCTTACTGTGCGGCTCACTAACTCATTTGGTTAAACCTTACTGTGCGGCTCACTAACTCATTTGGTTAAACCTTACTGTGCGGTTCACTAACTCCTTGTGGTGCGGGTACATGCCCGGGGGCAGGCAAAAAAAGCCACTCATTTCCCAGATTTACGGTATCTATCATGGAATCAAGGCCAAAGGGTTGCGATATACATAGTACCCAGCCTAAGGGTTAACAACTCATGGTTTCTGGGTATTTTTTTAAAATGCATCTGCACTCTGACACAGTAATTTGACTGTGCGTATTTCTTGCTTTCCGTGTGCATCCACAGAGGACTGTGGCTATAGATTCATTGCCGATGATAAAGAAGAGGATGACACTCCAGGGGGCATCCAGACAATCATGAAAGCCTACAATGTCCACAGAGACAACGCCGATGTAGTAGAGTCCATTGTGAGATTACTGCTAGAGCTGTCACAATACGGTAAGATGTTTCTAAGAGCATTGTCTGTCAACAAGAATTCAGACTCTTGATATGTGGATATACACAAGAAACAAAACAACTACAGAGGTTCTAGAAAGACTACGAATAAAAAGAGAATTACTGAATAATAATTCTTTTTTTAAAGGAGACAAATGAAATATTTTGGTCACATTAAAAGTCATACTGGAGGGAAAAGTGGGGGGGGGGGGGGCAAGAGGTAGACAGCGATACAAGCTAGGGGACAACATCAAGAGATTAACGTACAACAGTCTATGAATGTGTACAACCAAGACAAGAGACAGGGCGTGTTAAGGATCCATTGCAGACAAACTTCATTGTGAGGACGGCCTATACACATAATTTCTTTTCTGCCCTATACTCCCCACTGGAAGGAAGCAAGCGAGAAAACAGTCAAAACGGATGTCTCTCTATTTGTAGTCATTTTCATTTCCTCAAAATATATGCCAAGGTAACAGAAACGAGGCTGGGGCCAGTGATGGAACCACAGTTGGCAGAAGAACAGGACGGATCCCAGAAAGAATGCAGTCTTTCCACTTAAGCAGTCAATCAAAAAGAACAACGAAATAAAATAAGAACTTTTTATGACATTTGCAGACTAAGAGAAGCCACTTGACGTAGCCAGAAGCTGTGATTTTCATGCCTCCCCATATCACAGGATGATAGTATTGTGTGGAAAGACGAAATGGTGCCAACATTACAATGTATTATAGAGTGCATTTTTCATGGAAATTTATGGGGGTAGTCGCAAGAGCTACAGAGTTTTATTTCATGTATTTATTGGAAAAAATACAAATAAAGTTGTTTGGTCATGTGGTAAGAAAATGAGCTCTGGAAAATATGGTGACGCCTGGAGAGATCACTGGTAGAAGAGCCAGAGGCAGACCAAGAGAAACGATGGTGGATGGCTTAAGACAGTGGAATAGAGAAAGGAATATCATCAGTAGAATTGATCCAAAACACCAAAGAGCGATATCTATGGAGATGCATGAAAGCCTACACTAGCTGGCAAGGCACTTGATTATGATGATGATGTATTGCTGTGTGTATGTGTGTGAGAGAGAGTGTGTGTGTATGTGTGTGTATACACCAGTAAATATAAGGTAAGTTAGCTGGTACCCAAAGATTTGTGTGTTTCAGATTATTGTGTTTACTTCTGTCTTTCTGTGTTAATTATTTTTCGTGTTAGATGTTTGACAAAGACTGAGAACAAAACTACGTCATGGCACGAGGGTAGTAACACAAAAGTGCTCCATTTTTTACATGCGTAACAATACACACGGGCGTCTGGTCTTACTACCCAGAGACTAGGGTAAATTGCTAGGAGTTCACTTGAAAAAAAAAAGCATAGTCTTCACATGGGACTGAACCCGGGGACACCATACCTCGAGACCACGCGAACAGAACATGTGAGAAACGAAAAAATTGCAAGAACTGTTAAATCAACGCCTATAATTAAATTTCTTGAGGAAAAAAAAAAAAGAAAGACTGGAATGTATTGGTCATTGCCTGAGAGTGAATCGAACGTTGGCAGCAACTACAGCGTACAACATGACAGAAGGAACACGAAAGCTAGCAGGCGACCAAGGAGAAGATAAGTAAAAAGAGTTACTGATGCACGGAGACTCCACAACTTCACAGCATACCGGACAACCAAGTATGTCCTATCATGTGTTAACCTGCGACGCATAGAAGGGGAAAAAAGAATAATGAGCACAAATAAAAAACATTATTAATCCTTTTCAATTTCGTCAGTTAATTTTTATTATAGTGTTGGTGAAGGAGGTGGGGTGGGGGAGGCGGGGGGGGGGGCTGGGAGGGTTTATGTAAGGATCGTCTGTGTAATCTTTTTAGTGCATTGTATAACTTCACTTCTCTAAGGCTGTTCTTGATGCCGTCACTTCATCTTCTACATGGTCTTCCTCTTTGTGTGTACCCATTGTATCTCTTCAGCGTAGCTCTGTGTGACAGTCTCTTTTTAGGAAGTTTACTCGTCGACAATCTTGTTTGTTTCTTGCAGATGACATTGCAGCAGAACTGAAAGCTGCGAATGTTGGATCTGCACTTCTGTTAGAAGTTCACACACGTTACAAACAGAACAAGGTATTTATTTATTAGCAGAACTAAGGTTGAACAAGGTCACCAAGAACTAGATAAATGTGAAAATAGCATGTGTCATAGTTATAAACTAAATATTGAAGTAATGAAAGATTAGTAACTATGGAAATGAGATACCTGAGAAGAACAGAACATTATATCTTCTTTGCCACCAGAAACGGTCAATGAGAAAGATAATATGGGCTGCACGATAACTTTCATAAAGGCTACTGTCCTCCTGATATACGTTTTCTGGCAGAAGGATCAAAGAAGAGATGAAGGGGAAAGTGGTTGTTGGCAAGGCAGTTGATAATATATTTTAAAAAAAATTTAACGATTCAGGTACCATCTCTCCAATGAAGGTTTGCACCGTCAACTCTCCTAAGACAACTCATTTCTGTTGTTACGACCTTCCGCTCGTTGGTTGTAGTAAGGGTCCATATTTGGCACTGGCAGCACAATATCAGCCCTAAAAAACGTTCTTTTGAGATTTGCTTTAGTTGACAGAGATATCTTTCTATGCGTCAGAGGCAGTGTTAATTTTCCCATAACCTGATTTCCTTTCGCATATCGTATGTTGATTTCTCTATCCATTCTTCCACCTGAGGTGAAAAATTACCCTAGATATTTAAATTTGCTAGTTTGTTTTACTTCTATGTTATTTACTTTAATTGATATGGTTGGATTGGATTGGATTGGATTTTTTACCCCACCAGGACATCACACAAGCGATAAACACCCGATGACACAAAGTGCCACCATGCGGATGAGGATCACCGTGGAGAGGTCCCAGAAACCGCGTTCAGACATTTGGCCATAATGATGACCTGCCTATATTGCGGTCCCTGGCAAAAGCCAGAGTGGGGCTTCAAATAACAAAAAATAACGTCCTAAGAAGGACGAAAAGCAGTAATAGCATTTGATATGGTTTCTTCTTTTCTACCTATTACCATTGCCTCTGTCTCATCAATGCTTATCCTCATATTATATTTCTCACACTTTGTTACATGCTGGTTAAATTAATGAATATCAAAACAATTTGCAATTATGGGGTTTTTCATTGCCTTTTCTCCATCTTTAGGCTATCATGGGTCCCGTTGAAACGGCATTGAGTAAACTGGAACTGCTTGTCACAACTTCCAGCCGAGTGACGGCCTCCGCGCCAACAGTTCAAGGGGGATTACCCAACCGCCCTTTCAGGTTTGAAGGGGAGGTGAAGGAAAGCTGCAGGTCTATGACTCGTAAATGGTAAGATCTGGTCAACAAAGGTGATTAACAAGGTGTGTTCAGGGCTTAACAAGTGAACATACGTAAAGAAAAATAAATTGTTCCATCCATTTCAAGATATTAAAAAAAAAAAAAAATTTGTTCCATCATAGTACGGATAATTTTTTGTATCCATGAGATTTAATTTACCAGTTTAAAAAATGTGTGAGAGCCCCAAGCAGTTTTTTTGCCTCTTGATACTGAACCGTCTGTGTAAACAATCAAACCCTCTGAGCGAGAATTATCTTGAATTAATTGCTGAATATCCGCCTCGATAGCACCTGGTGGCCAATCTTTGCATTCCCGGCTCAATGTGATTATGACCCTACACAAGTCTGACCCATTCATAGGTAACATCAACATCAAAGGATTTTTAAAGTTCGTAAAATATATTGATAAATGAAAAGAACAATAACAACTAATAAGTGGTCATATGAAATCAATAAAAAAAGTAAAAAAAAAAACAAGGAAAGTTCACGCCTAGAAAAGCGAACATGCAAGGAGAACATTAAAAAAAAAAGCCTGAAATAGAATCTTTGTTTCATCACAGAACACGATTTTTGACATCCATGAAATATATTTACAGTTTTGAAAAGATAAATTGCAACCAAAAAGTGGAACATCAAATCAACAACAGTCATTGACAAGGCATGTTCAGTCCTAGAAAATTAAAAGGCATGAAAACAACAAAGTTTTTCCATCGTGCTTCAAGATTGAAAGAAAGATCTTAGTTTCCACCATTATCATCATAATATCGGATTTTTTTTTAAATTTCATTTTATAAAATATACCTATAAAGTTGTTTTTTTTTTCTTTTTCTCCAAGAGAGAGAGAGAGAGAGAGAGAGAGAGAGAGAGAGAGAGAGAGAGAGAGAGAGAGAGAGAGAGAGAGAGAGAGAGAGAGATGACAATCAGTAAGTGGTAATATCCAATCAACAAAAGTTGTCAACAAAGCCTGTGTTTTTTTCTAGAGCTGTGTTAATAGAATTATAGTTAAAGGTTAAAGTCGAGAAAAGCGACTTCACTGCACCGGGTTTTATCCCATATGGCTCGATCCCTTTTGGCAGAGTGGCTAGCTGCCTGACGAGGGCATCACACAGAGCACGAATTCCGTAGTCCGGCGACGAACCATCGGGTCTCCGTAAAAATTACACTCGTGAACTGAAAGGCGTCGCCATGAAATGAACCCAGGTCCTACAGAGCTCAAGGCAAATGGCTTAACCACTTCCCCACAGAGACTGCCATTATGGTGCCCTGGGCAAACCAGTGTGCTGAGGTCCCTACGATAACCAGGAATTAAATGTAAAGGGACTATTCCGCATACACAGATTAGCAAGGGATCCCGGCGTTCATAGGATTCCCCCCCCCCCCATCCCCACCCTGGGCAAGTACCTCGTAGGCTATGTGTCAAGACGGCATTAGTATCCGCATATATATGTTATTTACAAGATAAACCGGAAAATAAAACTGTATTTGTCAAAATAAAAGAAATCTCACAGTAAGATGGAAAATAACGTGCATTCTTTTGTATACTTCCACTTTATTTATGTTAAAAACGTTTTCTCCTACTTTTTTTTTTTTAATGCAAAATCTTTGATCTGTCCTTAAAACTAATCTTATGTACCACAACATTTGCCTTTAAACTTAATAGAGATTGCGCATCCAGCCTGTGTTTTTTTGCATTCTTGTTCTGATGGGATTTTTGAATATACTTAAAGTGAAAAAAAAATTGAACGCTATCTCCAAGGCTGTTGTCAATTTTTTGTGGTGCCCTTCCCATTGTGATGCTCTAAGCTCGTACTTATTGTGCTTAATGGTTAATCTGGCCCTGATTATAACCCAGCTCGCAAGGGCGTAGTAAAGGGTTCTTAACTCTTCTTTTTTTTTTTGGGGGGGGGGGGGAGTGGATGTGAGGGTGGAGAAGGAGACGGGGGTGTAATATCACGCTTGGGTCTGTTACATCCGATTTCAGCAAAACTACCACTAATCGCCCTTTACGACACGCTTGCTATGTGGCGATATGTCTAAACACCCACCCATACATGGGGACCCTGAAACCCGCATGGAGGATTCTTTTCTAAAACTGTCATTCTTTTCATCACATGTCACTTTGTGGCGCATATATTAAATTAATTTGGATCTGTTTGACTCTTGAGTCTGCTGGCCCAACGTATAAGAACGGTGGGCTCTCGTGCTGTGTTCGAACCCTCGGTAAGGTCAGGGATTTTTTCTTACCTACATAATCAGTGGCGGCAGCACTAGCCAAGTGGTCCTAAATCTTTAGACTTAAAAACTGCACCTCCACTTTTGTTGTTGTTGTAGTTGTTGCCTGGACAAAGGGTATATATAGGCAGTACGTGGCAGTTTTTTGCCAGTGTTCTTAAGCCTGAGTGCATCCTTTAAATGTATGCTGGATTGTTTTCTTGTTTGAAAGCTACGAGGCATCCAGTTTTTCAATCAATCAGTCACATGCCGTCTCCAGAGTGAAGGTTGACTGAAATGGATTTCCAACACTCTTTGCCTTTTGCCCTGGATGTACTCTCCAAAACTGCTGTTTGTCCATCTCTTGACGTTACCCTCCCAATTTTATCAATGGCTGCCTCTTACTCTATTGCCTTCAATGTTTCCATTCAGTATGGTTTTTATGAAAGTATTATGTATTTTTAATACTGCCAGAACCGGGAAGACTGACCCGGTCTTTAAATGCATGCAGAAGTCGGATGTGTTGGCCAAAAGGTGCACATATCGCAGCCATGTTGTGAACAGGCACAACGCGGATAAACACAGATGAAGAAAAAGAAGAAGTTTGCCAAAATACAGTATTTCATTTGTCTCTCTCTTTTTTTTTTTCTTCACATTTTCGACAGAAGATCTTTTTTTCGTGTTCTAGGCTTTTCATCCCCTTTGTGAAATACGACCTATTTTTCTGTATATCCACATGTTCAGGGAATCGGTACGGATTTTCTAATTGCTTGTTCAGGGTTAAGTGTACATAACATCCGACAATTCTGTTTTAATATGTTGTTGAACTCTTTATAATCAGTAATTTTTGCATTCTTCTTCTTCTTCTTCAGCATTCCGAACCCTTGAGGTTCATTGCTGCAGATATCACCCGCCTCCATTCATCTCTCTGATTGGCCTTCTCTTTCCACTTGGTGACACCAAGTGTTTGCAGGTCTGTTTGGATATTATCTTTTGGTCTGCCTCGTGGTCTACGACCATTCATCTCCCTTGTGTATACAGTTTGTACTTCTCTGACATCTGACATCCTTTCAATATGAACTAACCATTTCAGTCTATTAGCTCTCATGATGCCAGTGATCAGTGGTGATTTAAACTGATTATGAATTTCGTTGTTGCTTCTCACTCTCCATTCACCGCTGTTTGCATCTTTGATGGGTAGTAATTTGTGCATAATGTTGAAATTATATTTGACCATTCCTATTTTATTTTTGCCTTTTTTTTTTTTTTTTTTTTTTGGTTGAAAATATTTTTGACCATTCCTATTTTATTTTTGACTTGTTTTATTTCCACCATCATGTGTTTAGTCAATTTTGCTAATTAGAACAAAGAAGACACAAACAATAGGTTGCACAGTTTATTGCTTGGCAAATTTCGTTGTATCTCGTCAGGCACATCATACTACATCAACACTTAAATAAAATGGAGCAAAGAATGAATTATTATTGTTGTATATATATATATATATATATCAGTGATTCCCAATCTGTGCGCCGCGGCGCCCCGTGGAGCTGGGACCTCTTCACAGGTGCGCCTTGAAATATTGTAAAAGCTTTATAATTAATTTAACCAAAACAGAAGTAGCCATACTTTTACTTAGGTTAGGGCGCCATGTAAAGAATTTTAATTGAAAAAAAAAAAAAAAAAAAAAAGCGCGGCGACCAAGAAAGGTTTGTGAAACACTGGTTTACACCAAAGAAGATACAGCGATTTATGCCAGGCGATAAAATGTGAGATCTATTTTTGTGTCTTCTTTGTTCATATTCACAATCGGGAGGCATTGCTTTGAGTTTTGCTAATGTTTAAGGATAATCTCTTCTTTTCACTCTCCACCATCACATCGTCTGGAATGAAATGTATAAGGTGCATGTCCAAGAACAAGGAAGAATCAACCCAGAAGATGAAAAAACAGCAACGGCACTAGATTTACAGGGACAGAATTTGACAGGCTACAGCAAGACTATCAGTGACCTTGAGTGGTGGAGAAAGCTTGCAGTCTTTTGAAGATGGGACATAATGTATATGTGTGTGCACGTTCTCACAACTACCAATATTATGTTTATTCATAAATAAATATTGTTGCAGTCAAACCTCAGTTTAATTAAACATAGATCATCATCATCATGTGCCCTGCCAAATGGCGAAGGCGTTCATGCGTCTCCACAGATCACGATCCCAAGTTGCCTGGAACAGCTCTCATGATAATATCCCTCCATGCCATCGTTTCATCTCATACAGCATCATCTCTCTTGGTCTGCCTCTTCCTCTTTTACCACTGAACTTTCCAGTTGTCACGATGTTCTGCAATGTCTCTCCTCTCATTATGTGGCCAAAGAACATTGTTTGTCTCTTTCTTTTTGTAAACAAAGATATCTCCATTGATTGCGCCAGCTTTTTTCCATTGATTATACTGACTTTAGAATCGATATATCAGAGCACACCGAGCATACCTACAAATGTTCCGTCTCCCACAGCAAATATCCTAAAGTGTAGATGCTAACTATTCTATCGATCATGCAAGGAGTTTCAGTACAGTACACGAGTCATACAATTCATGTGTATTTATTTTCTGCTTAGCTAGTCCTCTCAATGATTCTATGCCTAGTTGACCATGTTCTTAGTGCACTTGTTTCCATAGCGAGGCGCACACGCCGTCTGAATGTGACAGGTTCGATTCACTGCACGGTAACTATAGCTTTCGATTTTTATGTTGTCTAGTGTGTTCTTCTATCTTCCTACGAGTGCA